GTAACCCGAGGACACCCATTTAAAATAGCTGTTAAAAGAAACAGAGGGGAAGGGAGGAGAAATGTCTTCACACAGAAAGTTGTTAGGATCTGGAATGCATTGCCTGAAAGACTGGTGGGAGGTGATTCCATAACAACTTTTAAGAGAGAAGTAGATAATTATTTGGGGAGAACAAGATTGCAGAGCTTTGGGGAGAGAGCGGCGGAGTGGGGTTGATCAGGGCTATGGGGAGAGAGCGGGGGAGTGGGGTTTATTGGGGCTATGGGGAGAGAGCGGGGGAGTGGGGTTTATTGGGGCTATGGGGAGAGAGCGGGGGAGTGGGGTTGAAATGGATAGCTCTTTTAAAAGAGCCGACATAGACACAATGGGCCGAATGGTCTCCTTCTGTGGTGTATAGCTCTCTGATATCTTAATTTGATATCCTTGGGTTGCTGACTCACTGCGGTGGCAGGGAATCCTCCCACTCAGCTTATTATATTATTATTATTATTACTATTATTACTATTATTATATGTTACCCTGCAAACTAAAGCCCTAACGGATAGGGTGGTCCCAGCTGGACAAGCAGCGGGAAAGACAGTGCTTTCAATGGTAAGCTGTGTAGTTTTATCTGGTTAGACTCCAGCAGTTATCCCAGTGCACAGTCTGGGGCCCCCCAAGACAAGGCTCTTGCCAACCTGTGCCTAATGCTCCCCCAATTTAAGCAGGATGCATCCCTCCAGGGAGAGCGCGCATTCCATTCCAACAGTCTGGGATTTCCATGTGTAGGTGGGATGCATGGAATTCCCAGTTTTGTTTAGAGACTCTTAAGCAGATGATGGGTTGTCGCGTGTGTCAGACAAGTGGAAATAGCTATTTATCCCTATTTTTATCACACCCCCTCGTAATTTTGCACCCTTCTATCATGTTGCCTCTTCACCTTTTCTGTTCTAATTCTGTGCTATACCTAGGTCAATAATAAAGATTAGAGACATTAAAGCCGTGCATTGCTCTGTCAGGCAAAGTGAGAATAAAGAGGACATTTTGTATCTCTTAGTGCCTTAGAGTTTTCCTGTATAATGTTCATAGTGAATATCTGGCTAAGTGAAATCCTCAGGATTAATATTCTGTCCTTTTTATAGGCCAAAGATGAAGAAGAAAAACTGTAAGTGAAAGGTTCCCAGGTTAGTTTGATTCTAGGAAATAAGATCTCAAAATAGGTAAGGTGAGAAAAGTGACATTAAACCTAACCGAGAAAAGAAAAGTGGTACAGAATGGGAAATGGGGGATTAGAGGAAGGGGCAAGGCAAGCAGACAAGTGTTTTATTTCACATTAACGTTGTTTGATTGACTTCACATGGGTTAGCGTCGCGGAGCACGTGCCAGTCACGGGAGGTGACTGTAGGCACGGTTGAAGAGGAAGATGGATAAAGGTTGGGCAAGGCAAAGGGATTGAGGGATTCCAGAGAGTGGACCCATGCATGTCAATGCTGTCAGTGCCAGGGTGAGAAGGTGCTGACGGAGACAGTCAGGGGAGCCTCTGTGTTGTTGATCTTCAACTGTAGAAAGTTAGCTCTCACCCAGAATTGACGTTTGACAGACAATCTTTCAGGATAGCAGTGCTCCTGGAGTTGAGGATAGAGGCAGAGAGACAGAACTGGGTATCATCCGCGTACATGTGGAATTTAGCCCCAGTTTGCAGATGATTTCACTGAACGGGAGCATATAGATGGTGAGGACCGAGGACAGAGCCCTGAGGAAGGCCGCAAGTGACGGTGCAGGGGCTGGAGGAGAAGCCTTAAGAGAGACAAACTGGAGAAGATAGGATAGGTAAGGATAGGACAGAACTGTGAAGGCAGATTAGTGCCTGAAATGCTTGTAAATTGCTTCATTCTTTGTCTTTATTTTATGCATCCGTCCTTCTCTCTGCACATTCCTGGCCCCGCAGATCTTACACATAGCCAGAGGAAGTGAGTTTCCATGGTAACTCGGTTGGGTAAGCCTCTGAAATGGTTGGACTGTTCTGTATATTAATTTTTCACTTGTATTTGATCCAGTGTCTTGTCACTTCATATTGTGTCAAAGCACTTTACACAGTGAGTTACTTTGATGTCTGACGAATTGCTGTGTTGCCCAGTGTCAGCTTGGCTCAGCTGCTCGAGGTCTCGCTTCTGGGTCAGACAGTGGAGGGTTCAAGTCCCGCACCATGTGATGTTTTCACAGCCTCACCTGGCACTGAAGGAGAGTACAGTAATAATAATCCTTACATTTGATATAGCAAATTGTGAACAGCAGTGTTCCACAAACAGTCGTGCATTGAGTGACCGAATTATTATTATTAATAATTCTTTTGGAGGAATTATTTCCCCCAGAAAGTGATCTGACAATCAACAACCGGGTTCCTACTTACTGTTAAGTAAACAGAACCGTGTGGAGTAAGGAAACTTGCGTTAGGTTCATTGTGGGGGAGCTCACAATCTGTGCTGATCCTCCAGTATGGAACTGCAGTGATGTGTTGTCTCTTGGGTGAGACATTAAACTCAGCCTGAATGTTAATCGTCTCAAGGCATTATTTCTTTCAAGGTCAGTTTTACGTTTAGTGGCTGAGCGATCGTACAGTTTTATGGGGCCTATAACTTCAGTGCAGCTTCAGTGCTTCATGCTAATTCTTTAGGACAGGGTGGTCCAACTGGCGGCCCATGGGCTCCATACAGCTCGGGGGACAATTTCATCTGCCCCCACCTCCATTTCATCTGGCCCACCCATACCCTCCATAACCTATCAATGTTATGTTTCTGGAAGGGAAACCCAAAAATATTGCTATGCGGCCCATAGACATTTCTCAAATAGGCCATCTGGCACTCAGCAACCAAGAGGTTGGACCACCTGTCTTAGGACATAGAGAGAGACTCCCTTCCCCTTTCCTGTAGCATTGCAGGACTTTTAATCTCCCCCTGGACAGGCAGATGGGCCGTTGGCTCAATATCCCATCCGAAGGTCAGCACTTGTGACTATGCAGCACAGCACCAGACTGTACTGGAATGTCTGTGAGCTGAATGTCCTGACGTGGAGCTTGAACCCACAATTTATTTAGGATTAAGATAAGATGTGTGTCTTGACACATAAATTAGAGTCTCCAAACTAGACAGTGCCTACTATCTCTCTGAAGCCTTGGAGGGACGCACCATGCTCATTTAATTCCAAAGAGTATTTGTGTAAGTTTGCTTGGGGCCCCAGAATGAGTGTTGGGGTATTTGAGTTTAACCAGATAAAACCAGACAGTTTGTGACAGAGCCTGGGTAAGTTTGTCCAGTCAAGACCACCGTCCCCATTAGAGTTTTGGATTGCAGTCAAAACGGGATGAATCCCTGCTCCCAGTATGCTCCTTGACGTCCAGCCTGGCTGGCCTGTCAATAACTGTGAACCCACCTGGCTGCAGGACTAGACTACTTCCCGCTCTCCCCTCCCCATTCCCCTCCCCCCCCCCTCCATCCAGGATGATAGTTAATAGTTCATTGTTTGTATTCAAATGAACCAGGGTTTGATCCATCCCTAAGTGGATAGCGATACCAAAAACTCCTGTGAGCATCTTGGTGAGCAGCACAATTCAACATCAAATGGAGGGCAGACTGAGGGAACGGTTTTGTCTCTCTCGGCTCCTGGTAACTCTGCTAACTGAAGTCCTAATGGGTAGGGTGGCCCTTGCTGGACAAGCAGCGGGAAGCTTGCCAGCCAGTTTTCTCAGTTAAGCTCCCAACAGAACCGTAACCCATTCTGTGTGGTCCCCAAAGCTTGGCCTACTCCTGCTCCTACATCTTATGGCTTTCAGCTACCTGTGTCTAATATTTTCCGGAATTAGGTAAACAGTTTGCATTCCTTAATGGGGAGAGTGCACATTCCATTTCCAGGCACAGAGACTCCATGTCAAACTCTGTCTGGTTTGGAGATTTACAACATGATGATGGATTTCCACGTGTGTCCAACACACAACTAACCAACCTTACTGTGCTGGTGTGGGGCTTACTGGGTGATTAGCAGGTACCAGGAACTCTGTCAGTCTCTTGGTAAAGAGCATAATTCAGCACGAAATGCATGAGAGCATTGGCACCACAATCCTCCAAAAACAACTCAGAGACATGTCTACCCGATCTTCCATCAGTTGGAAGTACCACAGCCTCTTTCTGGCTGGGCTGTACTGACATCAGCAGATACTCCATACATCGTTCAGTAGAATAGTGGCTATGGCCTCAAGCCGGGGTTGTGTTTAATTTGACGCAGTGTGTACCTTCGGAAAACACGTACTCCGTAGATCCAGTTACAGCACTGCTGTGAAGCCCTTCTGTAAAACCACTACAACAGTGCCACCTGCAGGCAACACCAGGTATTACGGTACCCCATTTGGAAATATTGAACCAAAATTAGCTGTGTATTCACTGCGTACCCAGGAGTAAGTAGGCAACCAGTTGTTAGTCCATCTGCCAATCAACTACCATCCAAGTTCCTTACTTACTGCTACGTAAACAGTGTGGAGTAAGGAAACTTGCCTAAGGTTTCAACCTGCCCAGGAATCGAACCTGGATCCTCTCGCTTGCGAGGCGAGTGCTCTAACCACTACTTCTAATAATAATAATAATAATCCTTGCATTTGATATAGCTCTTTTCATGTCTTCTTGATGTCCCAAAGCGCTTCACAGAACCCACTGTAAAGCGAATTGACTGTATATTTGTGGGCGAACGCGGCAGCCAATTGCGCACAGCAATGTCCCACAAACAGTCGTAGATTGAAAATGACCAATTTATTATTGTTTTTGGTTTTGGAGGGATTATTATTAGGCTCTATGTGGAGTAAGGAAACTTGCCCAAGGTTTCACCCTCTGCCTGGAATTGAACCCAGGTCTCTCGCTTGCAAAGCGAGTGCTCTAACCACTGAGTTACAGGACTCCATACATATACATATCTTGAATGGTATCCTGGCGGTCTGTGCAGTGCTCAGCCCTTTCTCTGGGTTGCTCTCTCTGCAGGTGGTCGGTTTAAGAAGGAGATTGTGGTGGACGGCCAGAGCTACTTGCTGCTTATTCGGGATGAAGGTGGCCCCCCCGAGGTCCAGGTAAGGAATCAAGCCTTTCGCTTCTCTTAAATGTATGAGATGGGGGGCCATGAGGCAGAGATCTGGGAACAGACAAGAGTGCCAGGAGGCAGACAGAGTGCCGGGAGACAGGCAGAGTGCCGGGAGACAGGCAGAGTGCCGGGAGGCAGACAGAGTGCTGGCAGACAGGCAGAGTGCCGGGAGGCAGACAGAGTGCCGGGAGACAGACAGAGTGCCGGGAGACAGACAGAGTGCCGGGAGAGAGACAGAGTGCCGGGAGGCAGACAGAGTGCCGGCAGACAGGCAGAGTGCTGGGAGGCAGACAGAGTGCCGGGAGAGAGACAGAGTGCCGGGAGACAGGCAGAGTGCCAGGAGACAAAGTGCTGGGAAAGAGACAGAGTGCCGGGAGACAGACAGACAGAGCCAGGAGACAGAGTGTTGGAGCGCTGGGAGCATATGAGGGATCAATAGTTACTTTTCAGTATTCCTTCTCTTCAAATATCACTGGCCATCAGACCTGCCCGTGTGGAGCACTTATGCATTTGAGACGTCTGAAATTGCTTCACAGAATATACTGTACAGTGAATTGACTATATTTGATGGTGTGACTGATTGACTGAGTGTAGCTACAACAACAACAGGATTACATGTATATAGCGCCTTTCACGTCGGGAGGACGTCCCAAGACGCTGGACAGAGAACAGTATTTCAGACCCGAGCTGAGGTCGGGGGGGGGAGGAGGGAGGGGAGGGGAAGGGGGGAGGCCGATGGCATGGTCGAAGAGGAGGGTCTTGAGGCGGGACTTGAAGGAGGCTAAGAAGGAGGTGAGGCGGAGTGATTGGGGGATGGAATTCCAGAGGTTGGGGATAGAGTGGCTGAAGGCTCTCCCACCAATGGTGGGGCAGGTGGGTCGGGGTACATGGAGCAGACCAGAGCGGCTGAGCGGAGGGAACGGGCGGGTTGGTAGGGGGTTAGGAGGTCGCAGAGGTAGGGTGGGGCGAGGCCATGGAGGGCTTTGTATGTGAGGACCAGGATCTTGAACTGTATCCTCTGAAGGATAGGGAGCCAATGGAGTCGGGCGAGAGTGGGGGAGATGGGGTCACGTAGTTTGGTGCGGGAGAGGACACGGGCTGCAAAGTTCTGGATTATCTGCAGCTGTGGAGGGAGAAGTTGAGAAGGTCGACAAGTAGGGCGTTTGCATAGTCGAGCCTCGAGGTGATGAAGGCATGAACAAGAGTTTCAGAGGCCTGAGGGGTGAGGTAGTGGCGGAGTCGAGCAATTTTACAGAGGTGAGGGAAGGCAGAGCGGGTCATGGCTTGAATGTGGGGGAGAAAAGACAGATGAGGATCGAACAAGACACCGAGGTTCATGACTGGCTGGTGAGTTGCAGTGTGCAACCATGGAGGGTGATGTTGCCGGAGCCTGAGGTGCTGAGGCGCTGGTGCGAGCCGATCAGGAGGGCCTCAGTCTTGTTCACATTCGACTAGCTCGGGGCTAGTGTGAGTGGCTGCTGGTAACTAGCTTGTTTGATTCTCAGTTTGCGGCCTGGGTGGATGCAGTGGTCTTTGTCTTCAGCTTGGAGGACGAGATCAGCTTTCAGACGGTTTACAATTACTACATGCGGCTCTCCAGCTACCGCAACACAGCCGAGATCCCCATGGTCCTGGTCGGGACCCAAGGTAACACTGACCTTACTCCCTCCTTGGGAGGCCGGGCGGGGAATGGGGTGAGGTTTTGAAAAGGAAAAATATAAGAGGGTGTGGGAGGAAAGCAGGGTATAAACAGATAGATACTGTATGCAAGAGACAGCACAGAGGATGAGCCGATGGCAACACAGCCCAGCCTGGCTCATCAGCAGGACGTGGAAGGGCAGAAAGGTCACTGGGAGCAGGGAATCCTCCCACTCAGCTCCTGTTAACCCTAGGCCAAAGCCCTCATGGGTGATCTTAGCGGGAAAGCTTGTCAAACAATGCTCTCAATGGGCAAGCTATGTGGGTTTACCTGGTTAGACTCCAGCAATTACCCCAACACACACTCTGGGGTCACCAAGTTTTGGTTCTTGCCATGCTGTGCCTGAGACTTTCTGGAATTAGGTAATCAGGATGTGTCCCTCCGGGAAGAGAGAGCACATTCCATTCCAACAACCTTTCTCTGGGATTTCCATGTGTAGGTGGGATACATGGAATTCTCAGTTTGGTTTGGATATTCTTAAGCAGGTGATGGGTTTCCGTGTGGGTTAGACCCCCGGCTGACCAAAACAAATGGCCTGAATGGCTGTCTGTGCTGTATAATTCTATGAATTTAATCTTTGTTGTTTGATTGACTGTGTGTGGGCGGCAATAGTGTTTCTGTGTGTGACTGTTCTCTCTCTCTCTGATTCAGACGCCATCAATGCAACAAATCCTCGTGTCATAGACGATTCTCGTGCCAGGAAACTGTCCAATGATTTGAAGAGATGTACTTACTATGAGACCTGCGCCACCTACGGCCTGAATGTGGAGCGAGTCTTCCAGGATGGTAATGTTTCCGTTACAGCGGGAGCAAAGCCGCAGAACAGAGCACGATCACCTCGGAAGGTCTGCCGTGGCCAGCCCAGTGTCGGCCTGCCCCTGCAGCTGGCGGCAGTACCCCTCAGTACCTAGCAGGGGCGCTGTTGACCAATTTAATTTAAGAAAGGCAAAATCCCGCTGGAAATCTGAAATAAAAACAGAAGTGGTTGGGAACACACAGCAGGTCAGCCAGGATGTGTCAGCATGTGTGGAGGGAGGAACATGGGTTAAGGTTTCAGAGCTCCTTTCGTTAGATGATGAAAGGTCATAGACCTGAAAGCACTCTGGGAAGCTACCCTGCTTGAGGGGCGCTGTGTAAAAGCGAGTTGTTGCTAGTGGTTGTGTCTTTGTAAAGCGCTGAATTGGGATAACTACTCTTTATCACCCTCTCAAAGCCTGACGGTCTGGTTGTTTTATTCCATTCTTCAGTGGCTCAGAAGATTGTGGCTCTACGGAAGAAGCAGCAGTTATCGATCGGTCCCTGCAAGTCACTGCCCAACTCTCCTAGTCATTCCTCTGTTCCTAACGCCTCCATTCCATCTGTACATCTCAACCAGGTGAGACCCTGTGCGACTGTATCCATGTGAGATAGGGTTGGAGTTAGGAAGGATTGTCAGCAGGTTGGGGGGAAGAATTGGCAGCAGGTTGTGGAGGAGAATTATCAGCAGGTTGGGGGAGGATTGTCAGTAGGTTGGGGGAGGATTGTCAGTAGGTTGGGGAGGATTGTCAGCAGGTTGGGGTTGGGGGGGAGGATTGTCAGCAGGTTGGGGTTGAAGGGGAGGATTGTCAGCAGGGTTGGGGTTGGGGGGGAGGATTGTCAGCAGGTTGGGGTTGGGGGGGAGGATTGTCAGCAGGTTGGGGAGGATTGTCAGCAGGTTGGGGAGGATTGTCAGCAGGTTGGGGAGGATTGTCAGCAGGTTGGGGAGGATTGTCAGCAGGTTGGGGAGGATTGTCAGCAGGTTGGGGAGGATTGTCAGCAGGTTGGGGTTGGAGGGGAGGATTGTCAGCAGGGTTGGGGTTGGGGGGGAGGATTGTCAGCAGGGTTGGGGTTGGGGAGGATTGTCAGCAGGTTGGGGAGGATTGTCAGCAGGTTGGGGAGGATTGTCAGCAGGTTGGGGAGGATTGTCAGCAGGTTGGGGAGGATTGTCAGCAGGTTGGGGAGGATTGTCAGCAGGTTGGGGAGGATTGTCAGCAGGTTGGGGAGGATTGTCAGCAGGTTGGGGAGGATTGTCAGCAGGTTGGGGAGGATTGTCAGCAGGTTGGGGTTGGGGAGGATTGTCAGCAGGTTGGGGTTGGGGGGGAGGATTGTCAGCAGTTTGGGGTTGGAGGGGAGGATTGTCAGCAGGTTGGGGTTGAAGGGGAGGATTGTCAGCAGGGTTGGGGTTGGGGGGGAGGATTGTCAGTCGGTTGGGGTTGGGGAGGATTGTGAGTAGGTTGGGGTTGGGGGAGAGGTTTGTCAGGGTTAAGTTGTGGAAGCCCCAGTTAGGGTCCTTCCTGATCTGACCCTGTTGTCTCTGCTGTGAGGTGCAGGCTGCTAATGGCGGAGCTTTCAGTGACTACTCCTCGTCAGTGCCGTCCACACCCAGCATAAGCCAGAAAGAGCTGCGGATCGACACCATCACCGCCTCCAGCACCCCCACCCCAGTCCGCAAACAGTCCAAGAGGCGCTCCAACATATTCACAGTGAGTACAAGCCGGGGGCTCGGCTGTGCTGTCAGTCACTGGGTGGCTCCGCACTCTTGTAGAGAGATCCCAAACAAGCGGGCACTGCCTTCATATCACAGCCAAACTGATCGGATGTGAGATCAGAAATGGTGTGAGAATGTGCAATGTACGTGGTAGAGGTGGTGTTAGCAAAAATAAGAGCAGGAGGAGGCCATTCAGCCCCTCGAGCCTGTTCCGTCATTCTATAAGATCATGGCTGATCTGTACCTCAACTTCAATTACCTGCCCTTGCCCCATATCCCTTGATACCTTGACCTGACAAGCATCTATCCATCTGGCAGGTTTTGAAAAGGAGATAGGTAATAATAATAATAATCATTGCATTTGATATAGTACCTCATCATGTCGTTAAGATGCCTCAAACTGCTTCACAGAATAAATGACTATTTTGTGGGCGAAACACAGCAGCAAATTGCGCACAGCAGTGTCCCACACACAGTCGTGGACTGAATGTTATTTATTTATTTTTGAGGGATTATAACATGATATGTGCTTTAGTAGTAAAAGGATTAAGGGGTATTTGGGAAAATGGGATTAAGAGATCTGTCCTGATCTCATAAACTGAATAAATCACCATTCTGCAGGAATCTTCTGTGGTGAGATGGGCTTTGTTTGTCTCCCTGTAGTTGTGTATACATATCAATGCTCCCTTCGCTTGGGACCTCTCTTCATGTGGGTTATGAGGGCTGTGGGCTGCAGCCTGGGATGGATAAATCGAGAGAAGATAAGATCAAATAATTCTCTCAGTTGCACCAGTTGGGTCTATTGAAATACAATCTGTGACTGACGTGTTCTTTCTGTTTCTTTCTGCTTCTATAACGCATGCTCTCTCGCTCTCGCTCTCCCTTTTTCTCCCTCTCTCCCTTTCTCTCCCCCTCTATCTCTCCACCCCTCTCTCTCCCCGTCTCTCTCTCCCTCTCCCTCTCTCCCCATTCTCTATCTCCCCTTCTGTCTGTCCCCCTGCTCTTCCCCCCCCCCCCCCACTCTCCCCCACTGCTCTCTCTCTCTCTCCCTGTAACTCTATCTCTCTACAGCACAAGACAATACAGTTAGAAACTTACATTTATGTAACTAAGTTTATCTAGATTACTGTACAAATTAATCAAACTCAACCTCAGACTGCCTCTTCACCACAGACTTAGAAAGAATTTCTGTCACTGGTTACAATGTGCTTCACTGACAGCTGTAGTGCCAATAATCCGAGCTAAATCTTTCCCCTGTTCTTTCTCTCACCCAGTCTCGGAAAGGTAGTGACTCTGATAAAGACAAGAAGAGTTTAGAGGGTAAAACAGACAACATCGGAAGTGGACGCGCCATCCCCATTAAACAGGTCAGTGTCAAACTCTCCTTTTTATCTCCTTCTGTTGATAGAGAAAAAGCTCTAAACTCACAGCATTGCAGCGCTGTGACTCAATGCTCTGTTTGCCTCGCGCTCCCACTCCTTCACTCTGAGGTAAGCGTGCCCAGTACAGAATGTGTGAGCTCCCTTGCTCACTCCACACATAGCTGCTGGTTTGAATATCACACCCTTAGAGTCTGTAACAAACCAGCCAGTGGTGTGAGCGCTTGTACCTTTGGGCTTTAACCTGCACCATCACTGGTGCGAGCACAGATCAGGGTAACTCGCCTGGCTTCAGGTGCCTGTGCCCAGGGTGTGCGTGCATGTCCATGTCTGTTCATGTTGCCAGTCTGTCAGGCCAGAGGCACACGCATTGTCCACCAGCTCTCAGTAAGTGGGCACTCGTTCGCAGGCTGTCCATATACACCACATACTACCCGCTCTGGGTCTGCTCTGCATGGTGTTACGCTGCAGGCTGCTTTGTGATGTGCATCATAGCAGCATGTACACGTATGTCTAGTGACGGTCACACTCTGCAACACCCACGTCATGTGGTAAAGCCTGAGAATAGACTCAGCCATCAGAAGCCATTGAGCGCAGTGTGCGCAGTTCAAATGTCAGATGTGTCCTGTGACAGTGCGAACAAACCAGACTGAGACGTGCCCTCACCCCCCACCCCCACCATCCCCTCTCGGTTTGCAATCTGTGAGATAGTTTTGATTTGTTTTCATGTTAGAGTCTGTGAATTGCCTGCTTTTTGCAGCTGTCCCATTGCTGATCAGTTTGTTGNCCCCCCCAGTCACCCAGTGACCATTATAATTTGATTTCCCGATGTCACTCTCTCGCACTGAGAGCTGGATTGTTGTCTGTCTGTGTATCAGCATCTTTTCACATCCGTAACTGTTTTGTACTTTAAACCACTCATCTCTCACCCGGCTGCCGTGGGAATGAGTGCGGCGCACAGTACTTCAACTGCAACCGCAACGCTTCGCAATTTGTGTGCTTGTCGTTTTTGGTGCTTGACTAGAACGAGTAGATCCATCCATCGGTGGGTGTAGAGAGCAGGGATCAGAGATTAAGGCTGAGAATGGGGGGTGCAAGTGGGTGATGGTGGGGGGTTTAAAGGGTTAAAGCCAACTATGGATTTTTTTTGTCAGCCGGGTGTCTGACACTTGTGGAAACCCATCACCGTGCTTAAGAGTATCCAAACCCAACAGAATTCCATGCATCGCACCTACACATGTGGAGTTCTGTAGCTTAGAGCATTTGCAGGGCAGGGCGAAACATTGCGCAAGTTTCCTTACTCCCCACGCCTCTATTTACCTAGCAGTAGGTAGGAATATGGTTGTTAGTCGACTGGCGGATCGCTTTTCTGTGGGTAATAATCCATTCAAAAATAAAAAATAATAATAATTTGGTCACTCAATCCATGACTGTTTGTGGGACGCTGCTGTGCGCAATTGGCTTCTGCGTTTCACCCACAAAATATATACAGTCAATTCACTTTGCAGTATATTCTGTGAAGCACTTTGAGACGTCTCGAAGACGTGATAAGGATAAGGCGCTATATCAAATGCGAGGATTATTATTGTTATATTATTGTTATCATAAAGTAGAACTTTCTTTATCAGTAATGTACAGAATCCCCAGATCATACCTCTGACAATACCAATCAATCCTATCATTTTGTCTGCTCTCTGAATGGCTTGTCTTTCTTTCAGTTGCTTGTGATAAATTAGTCTTTGCTGTTCAGCCCTGTTCTCCCTGCATCGCCCACTCTGTCTCACAATTACCCTCTACACCCTCTTATTGTACAATGCAATATTTACAGATACTGAGGTGTAATTTGCGGATGTTCGCAGTTTGAGTGCCTTGGAGTTTCTGAATCACAAATAGCAGTTCCTGGTAACTGGGAGGTGGGATCCTGGGGTTCTCCAGATGTGCTTCTGGTTACTTCAGGAGCCACTATTTGTGATTTTAGATGTGTATGAGAGGACCTGGGTTTCCCCTCTACAATGGACTGAGATGATAATTAGCAATGATAGGGTAAAAGGCAAGCGAGGAAGCCAGTACTGTGTGACATTTATACTATGTGGGAGGCACTGTATAAAGCAATTTGTAGTTTCTACAACTGCACAGAGTTTATCACAATACATCTTAACTTTGCAACTGTACGAGTTACCGTTTGCTCAGTAGGGTCAGATAGCTGTGATTCCGGCCTACAGTGGGGTATCAGGGCTGAGCAGCTTCATACTGGAGTCCTATAGCTTAGGGGTTAGCAAGTGAGAGGACTTGGGTTTGATTCCCGGACAGGGCGAAACCTTAGGCAAGTTTCCTTACTCCACATGCCACTGTTTACCAGCAGTAATTAGGAACTCGGTTGTTAGTTGATTGGCGGATCACTTTCCGGGGATAATAATCCCTTCAAAAGAAAAGTGGTCACTCAATCTACAACTGTTTGTGGGACGCTGCTGTGTATAATTGGCTGTCGTGTTTTGCCCACAAAATACATAGTCAATTCACTTTACAGTATATTCTGTGAAGTGCTTTGAGACGTCTCAACAACCTGCTAAGGGTCTATATCAAATACAAGGATTATTATTATTAAGAAAATTCCACAATCCAACCTTCCTCTGTGTAAAGTAATGTTCGTTGTGTGTGCCCTCTTGTCATCAGTAGAAATAATCTATAACTGTCCTTGACATCTAGTTTATATTTCTATTTTCTTCTCTGCTCTTACGATCTCCCCACCCCCCACCCCCCCAGCCCCTGGTCCCACTCCTCACAGAGACACAGTTTTTCTTGCGCGGTTTAGAGATTAAAACCACAACAAAGCTTTGATGGGAAAAGACGTGAAAGTGGGTCCTTACACTGCAAGTACCACACGTGTTGCTGGAGCGCTTCAAACTATGAAATGTGCAGTTGTGACGTTTGACGCCTCTCTTTCGCCCACAAAATACACAGTCACTACACTTTACTGTATATCCATCCTGTGAAGCACTTTGAGACGTCTCGAAGACGTGATAAGGCGCTATATCAAATGCAAGGATTATTATTATTAAAGTCAAGGTAATGGTCTCACCCAGCTACCGTTTCTCAAAACAATAAACTTCCAAACTGCCGAGGGCAGCCACTGGACTGATTTTGATGGTGGGTTTAAGAGCTGGACATCCACACCTCTTCTCCTCAGGAGCCATTCTGCTTGACCAGTTCGTGCTTGCAGCTTAGTGGTTAGAGCACTCGCCTCGCAAGCGAGAGGACTCAGCTTCGATTCCCAGACAGGGCGAAGCTTTAGGCAAGTTTCCTTACTCCACATGCCTCTGTTTACCTAGCAGTAAATAGGAACCTGGTTGTTAGTCGACTGGCAGATCACTTTCTGGGGTTAATAATCCCTTAATAATAAATAATAATAATTTGGTCACTCAATCCACGACTGTATGTGGAACACTGCTGTGGCTGTTGTGTTTCGCCTTTACAGTGTATTCTGTGAAGCACTTTGAGACGTCTCAATGATGTCATAAGGTGCTATATCAAATGTAAGGATCATTGTTATAATTTATTACGTTATTACTGGTTGCACACCGCTCCGAACCTCATACTGTGATTTTAATATTGCAGTTGTAACAGCTTGCAAACTGCTTCAAGACGTTGTGTCAGGGCAGTCACTCTGTGCTTCAGGAGACAATTGTCAGATAGTCCGGACAATGACTCGCTTCAGTGGCTGTGGCTTGCTGCTCTCCATCCATCCTGTTGTTGTCACATAATCGCACTCATTTTTCAGTCGGTTTTGCTGCATTTTAATGTTTTTTGTTGACGAGAGGCCATGCCGCTGACTGCCGGAGGTCTGAACCCTGTCAATGAGGCAGAGTGTCCGCTGGCTTTGCTTGCTCTCCGTATGGTGCGCTGTTTGTGGTTCTGTGGTCGTCATTAAAGATCTTCCATGTAATAGTGACCTCCTATCAGCAAAGAGTGATAGAGGGCGAGTAACGCTTTCATTAACCTGACACCCACCCTTTGTCACGTTTGTTGCTGTTTCTGCTTTGAGACCATTATTGGAGCAAGGGATGGTGGAGGGAGGCATGAATGTAGAGTTAGAGAGCGCGAGCGTGGGATGAGCAGTTCAGTTAAATGCAGGGGGGGTGGTTGGAGGAGGATTCAGATCTGAAATGGTAAATTTGCTGCGGATGGGTAAACCAGTGAAAGTTTGGAAGAGTTGGACATGAACCAGGTGTTTTGAGTTTTAAGGGGATTAACTGGGGAATGTGGTGGAGTAGACAGAGCAAGGCTGGGATTGGGAGTGTGGGTTAGCAGTGAGCAACTTGGATTGCAGATGACTTGGGGTTTGAAGCGAAAGCTGGTTAGAAGAGACATTGATGGGTAGAATAGTGGATGGGTGCAGGATCCGAATAGAAAGTGTCATGTGGGACCTAGAGATAGTCCTCAAATGAAATTACAATGTGGGGAGGGCTGAGGTGAGGACAAAAGGATGATGTGTTCTGGGAGGAGAGCAGTGAGTTGGCAGCTGGGGTATCCTAGTGACGGGATTGGGCAACAAGTTAGAAAAGGGAAAGGCAAGAGTTAGGAGATGAAACAATGAGGTAGTGGTGTGTAGAGGAGGGTGATGGATTGGGAAATGGGGTGCAGAGCGGAGGGTGGATTGGGAGATGGGGTGTAGAGGGGAGGGTGATGGATTGGGAGTGTGGAGTTGGTGGGTTGGTAGAGTGGAGGGTAATGGATAAGTGATGGGGTGCAGAGGGGAGGGGAGAATTGGGAGATGGGTTTGCAGTGACGAGGGATAGACAAGGAGATGAGGTGTAGAATGAAGGGCAGCACAGCTGATTGGGAAGTTTGTCTGGAGACTTCAGTTGTGAAATGATGGAGAGTTGGGAGATGGGGGTGAATAGGGTGGGAGCTGGGCTATAGAATGGAGGAAGGAGGTTGATGTTGAGCTTTAAGGATGGGGTAATGAGTTGTTGGGATTTGGGCTAAAG